TTTCAGCAATGAAGAATTCATAGCATTGACCATCATTCTAAAAGGCACTTGGCATACACTCCAACAGAGCTGTTTTGTTGATGCGCTTGAGTCAACTGTCTCAGCTTCACACAGCTGAACCCTTTTTAACTCTTGAGGGCATTGACTGCCTTTGTTCAAAGAGCATTGCAGACAAGCAGCTCTTATGCTAGTTTACATGATGCTGCCCGATGCATTGTGAGAGATGCTCAAGTGGAAGCAATGATGTGTATTGTGAAGCTGCATTCTTTTCATTTAAAAATGTCAGTGATTTTCTGGATTTCGTTCCCAAGCAAGTGCCGAGCATACATTACTAGATGAGTGTTTTGTTGATGTGAAGTAATATACGTACGTATGTATCACACAAAAATAGTGGCTGGGAATTAGTTTAGAATATGTTTTCTTCTTGTATTTACAGAATTTATTTAGCCAACAGCCAGTCAGAAACAAGTGGGTGAAACCTTGTGCACCTACGGAGAAACAAAGGCTGATGCTCGGCTTGCAGACAACGGGAAAGGCTGCAGCATCTGGAGGCAGTAGAAGAGACATCCAACAGCAGAAATGGTTCTCTCAAAGATGCCTGCTCCTTTTTCACTTCAGATCAAAATTTCACCCATAAAATAAAGTCACTCCACTTTATAGTACATCCCGTGAAGTGCTTTGAAACAAATTAATGATGTGACAAGGCACTATATATATTATATCTATACAAACACAATCCAAGGAACACTACTATTATTATTAATGAAAAAAACATCACGGTCAGTGAACCCAAAGTGTAAACCTACAGTATCCAATTAAGAAATTGTCTAAATTGATCAAGCTGTTAACAGATCTGTCATTTTTGCAAACATTAATTAAAAACGGATATATTTTCTGTCAATCTGGGCAGATAACACTGATTAACATCAAAATGGTATTGACTCTTTAAATCATAGGAAAATGTGGCATTTAGACATTAAGGAGCAGGAAATAATTAATAGTTGCAAGATCAAATAAACCACATGCTCATAGCAGTAATACAGCAAAAAAAAATTGAATGTAGCAAACACAACCTGTGAAGGTGTGAATTATCCATCGATAGCCTGACAAGAGACCAAATAAGAACAGCCACCAACTCCCAGCTGAACAAGTGATATAAAACACCAGTGATGGCACTGGTATTTTTTAAAGTTATTTTTCTCTGATGTTTACTGAGGTCCTGGAAGCTTATGTGTTGATACTTTAACATCCCAGCCACCTACTCACAGATGATGGTTGGACTTTGCACACCAGTCACCTTGATCCTTTCAAAACCAATGTAACTGAAACAAGTATTTGTCAATTTCTCAAGGGTAAAGCCACAATACCTTATCCTGGATCAGTCCTTTAATGTTGGATCCTCTTAGCTGGCAGAACAAATAAGATTGCTGTTAACTTGGGATTTACTGCAAGACTACAAAAATAATCACACTTTAACTATTAAGTTTATAAATTGCTAGAGTTGCTTGAACTTTTCCTTGAAGGGAAAACAGAACTTGATTGGGAACCTAATTTTTACTGTAATTTTTAACTAGGAAAAATGCCCTTGTTTACTAGACAGATGCATTTACTACTTACGATCATTAAATTATTTGTGTATAAAAACGATGCATCGTAATGCAGCCACCGTCCTCCACTGTCCACCAACACACATTGTCACTTTTTACAAGTCATTAACCATCCTGATACTACCAACAGAGCAAAATAACACAGTGAAATATTAAAGTCAATAATAATTAACTGGAGAAGAATTTAATTGATCAAGCAGGGGGATCCCAGCTATGCATCTTCCACTGCAAAGTATTTTTGATTTGAGTTTCTTTTAAACAATGGGTAAATTTTAATTGAGTTGACACATTTTGCCTCCCTTGAAGCTTACCATCTTGAGTCTCCATTTGCATTGGCAACCACTCCAATGACATGGATTACCTTGACAAGTGAGTGCGCAACAAGAAACTTGACACTCCGGAATGGCTGAGAGATGGCCAAACCTGGAAAAGGCAATGTGATCTGATGACAGTCACCCAGACTTCTACTGTAGGAGGGTCAACTAATTGGTGTTTTTACCTCCAGGGGGCTCATTGTCCACTTTGAGCAGCAGTTTTCTCAAGAGCATTCAGGGGTAATAACAGCCCCAGCAGCAGAATCGCCCCACAGATGCAAGTAACCATCTAAGGCTAACAGTTATTGCCATTCAAACAGAACAGTGTTGGGTTTTTCCTACACTGCACAACCTTCCTCAACAATTGGAGTGGGGAAAGACAGCCAGAAATCCAATTAAAATAAAATAAAACGTGCAGCAGCACATCAATGATTTTCTGCGGCTCTGGCTGCTGGAGTATCCAAACTGCTATATAAACGGGACCACTTCCAGAGCACTGAGGCCTTCAGTGCAGAACCATTTCTTGCAAACAGTTCTGCTATGTAAATATGCATTACCTAATGAAAGCACAGAAAACCACGTCCAGACACCCTGTTAGGTTTACTAATTTTAAGATGAGCAAATCTTTCATGATCCATTCTGTTTGAGGTCACAGCTAGGACTCAAGCAAATACCCTTCATCTACACACCAATTAACCAAACGTAGGTTTAATCGCAAAGGAAAATGAGGGAGAAAGTAGCAGAGAAAGTGAAAAGGGCTGGTGCAGTGGATTACAATAGCAATAGTACAACATTTGATGGAAAAATGTTTTAGTTAGCACTGTAGCATATTTGTATTTTTTTGGTAATATCCAAATATCTACTGTGTGGTTTATATGCAATGAGGCTTGTCCCAATGTATGCTGATAATTGGTTCTCTACTGTATATGCTGCAAGATTGATCATGTTAATTGCAATTTTCACAAGGCAAAGTTCTGCAGAGAAAGAATCATAGGTCGAAGTGAAAGGTGCTATACAAAATGTTATCTTGTTGTTGTAACTTGAGTGTGAATAAGAAAATTGTGGAAGCTCACTAAATTTTAAGTATGTACGACTAATACTGCTACTTTGACATATTTCTATCATTGATTTTTTGTATGCCTTTTTTAAAAACACTCTTCTTCCTTAATTAGTTAATTGACCCAGTCTTTCAATCTTTAAAAGATTGTAAATAAAAATCTCCTGCTGATTTCTAACCCTGATGTTTTTATGACAGTACAAAGCATTTCATGTAAAAGCATCTAAAAATTCTTTGTGAATCTGGAACTCCATCCCACAATCCCTTCACCTCACTTCCTCCCTTGCCTCCTTCAAGGCCGGTCTCAAGACCCTCTTCGATCATGCCTTCAGTCACTCTCCCACCTCTTTGCCTTCCCTCACCCCTACCCCACCCCTCCCCCATGCTCAGGTCCTGACCCCTGACTGTTCAATGCCTTGGGATGTCCCCCTGACGTGAAAGGCGTTATATAAATGTAATTTTGTTGTTGTTTCCCCACTATTTTATAAATGGGACAGGGAACGATTCATCTTTAAAAGTACTTGATGTTTCAGTTAGTGACAGTGAAACCACTTTAATCCTTATACAAAGGGAAGCCGCAACTATGAAGACCTTCCGCTTGTCACCTGTATCCCCAGCTGGTGTCAGAACTGTTTTTTTTCCTACAGCTTTCGGGCACTAAGTGTGGTGGAGGACAACAACTTTGTTCCCAGATTGCTGCTGATTTTGATTGGTAAACTAGCATTATAAACAGGCAACATGATGAGTAACTGTGCCTTTGACATTCAAGCATTCATTTTACATCAGTACATGCAGCCTTCCCTTGCGGAGATGATTTTAATGAACCTTGCACTCTTCCTACCACATAACTCTCCTGCTCAATTTTCTGTTCCATGTCAAACATACCCTATTGTGTAGTTATATTTAATATTTTTGCCCCAGCATTCATCACCTTAAATGAGTCTATATATTAAATATAATTTCCAATCACCACTTCAGTCTCAATTCTCTCTATATATACAGATATATACATCATTTTGGCTAATCTCTGCCTCCCAAATATAATTTGCCTTCCCACACAATTTCATATCAACAGCAAGCTTAGAAATCCCACCATAATCCCCTGATCAAATTCGTTAATGAAGAATGTGATATGCAGAAGTTCAAGGCTGTTCCCGGGGGAACTCTGCTCGTCACGGCTTGCTACAAGAAATGCCCATTTAGAATCACCTTGTTTAACCAAAAAAGTTTCCCCTCAGATACCTTGAACCAGCAGCTTTTCTATAAGCGTCTTGTGAGACTGTTAATTACAAAATAAATCTTTACTAATTACATAGCAAATGCACCAATAATTCCCTCTGTACATGTGTGGTGTACACATATAAATTTACACATGGTTAACACATGCTACATAACAAACCACATTAAATAAACTTTAATCTATCTTGTTACTAAAATAACTGTTCCCAAATTAATTCCTACGATTGGTGATTTGACAATTCTCTGAACCATATATTNAAAAACACACAAACAGTTATTTTTCCAAGTCTCTTATACAGTATTTTCAATTAGCTGGTTAAAATCACAGCCCAAGATAATTACATCCCCCTTAAAGAATTAACCTGCCCTTGCTTGTTGTCTTGCCAATCTGGTTCAAGTCTTAAAATAGCCAGCACCAAAATTTGGCTTTGTCAAATGGCTTTTTTTTTTATAGAAACACTCTTTTAGATTACCCTACCATGCACTATTGGTAAAGATGAAACACACATCCCGCTAATCTGGCAATCACAAAAGTGGGGTTCAAATGACCTCACATTGGATATTAAAAGAAAATACTGAAAAGGGGATATTTTAGCATAACAATATGGAACAATGCAAATTTACCTTCCATATAAAAACGTTATACTAAAACTCGTGTTAGATTTCCTAGAATAGAGGATCTTAACAAGTGATTTTTGCAAAGAATGATGCAGGATGGAATAAGCCATTTGGCCCAACTAGTGTATACCAGTAATCCGATTTGATAAACAACCACCAACTTACCCACATGTTCTGAGAGGAAGACAACAAAAAAAGGAGTGACCAGGTCATTAATGCCTTGAACATAACCGCTAGCTGGATGACGAATGGCCCATATGAACAAAATCCGTTCAAATATCTGTAAAAGAAGATTAAGTTTAGCTCACCAAAATCACAACAGCACAATCACAAACTTTACAAAGAATTCGTTGAACTAAAATATTAAATTCATGGCATCTCAAAGACAGGCAGAAGATGCATTTACAAATTGAATACGTTTTAAAAATGTATTTTATATAGTGCCTATTCTTTAAATTGTAGTTTGTAATGTTGAAATATTAATTGAAGGGTAATACCTTCAGCCCATCTTCAAGAAAAGTAGCCTGTTTGAAACAGCAAAGTATTCGGCTAGTTAGCAACCAGAAAGATGTTTTATCCCATAGATCTGGACCCAAATCACTGGATGATTAGTACTTCACAACAATGCTGTCACCCACTGTGCCAACAGTGTTCCTTTTTATACATGCAAGTTTGTCTTTAATTGAACTGAATAGACTTTTTTTTAAGACTGGTCTAGTTACTAAATGTCAATAATGTCACCATAGTTGAAAATCATAGGATACACAAAACTTGTGAAAAGCAATTCAAATGTTCTCAAATACGAATAAGGTTATTTAACATCCCCAAGATTTAATGCAGCAGTAATTCATTCACTTCTGATGAATTATACAGCGAATCATAATCCTGTTTAATTGTAGTTCTTTATGCTAAAATTCCTAAATGCTTCACAAGCATCGATTGTCAAGTGACGCAACTGTTATTGAAGATAAACACGGCAGCCATTTATACTAGCAAGATCCCACAAACAGCAGAAGGTGAATGATCAATTTTTCATAAGGATTGTTAGCCTCTGGGAGAAACTCCCTTCTCTTTTCAAATAGTGTCATTGAATCTTGAACGCCCACCTCAACAGAGAAACGGTACTTTGGATTAATGGCTCATGCAAAGGAGGGCAACTCTGACAAAAAGCCTCCCCAGCTCTGGATTGGATTGTCAGCCCAGAATTGAAGTCTTTATTCTGACCTCAATGAATACCAACAGGAAGTAAAGTGTGCCTACATGAATACCCTTAAAAGTATGAGGACNAAAAACAGCAACCAGTAAGTTTTATAGGTGTGGAACCTGCATTTCTGCTAATGTCATGAGATATATTCATAGCTCATAGCAACAACATGAATTTCAATTTGATTTTACAAAATTAGTACCAAAGGCATTTCAAAGTTGCAACTCCATCCATTCTACAGTTGAATAATGTGAAGTTCAGCAATTATACCATACTTAAGCTCCTATCATTACCATATGAATTCATTCAAAATTTTATTTCAGCTGTGTTTCTGAAATTCTTTACATGTTAACTGGTTATACATCTCAAAGCGCTAATCTCCTCAATCACAGCTGGATGATGAGAGATAATAAAAAAAAGTCTGAACTCTGTGAGCAATGTTAAATGACTAATTAGTTCCAAGCCTGGTAGGAAAAGGCAGAACATAAGTAATAGTTCCTGGCATATGGGATAAGGAACATGTACGGGCTCCGTTTTACAGGATATCCAATTACGCTATTAATACTCAAGACTGTACAGAATAAATCCCTGGAAGGTAGAAATAAAAGGCAAAGTGTGATTATAATCAAATATCCTATAAGTAACTCTAATCTGGTCACACGTAAGGTATCATGCAAAGATTTCACGAGGTTAATACCCAGGTGAGGTTAGATGCCTGATAGGGTTTCCAAAAGCACGAGTCAAACTACCAGTGAATTAGCAATAAAGGCAGGACATTTATTTTTCACTTCCCTCAAAGATGTGGCAAAATAATTCATTGAACAGTGCAACCCACTGCAGCTGAATAATAATTGAATAAAATGAATTTTAAGGTTACAATTGCAAAAAGTGATGTAATCTTTCGCAGGCATTTCATTTTTTTTTCTTTTATGCTGCTGTTCCTGGGAACAGACACAGTTCCTGGTTAAATCGGAAAAGGTAAAGTTTCTGACTCAGCAGAGAGAATACATTTGCTCTCCTCTTCATCGCAATTGCAGTAGGAACTGCCATAAACAAGCTGAGTAAAACTAAAATGTCACAACATTGACTAGAAGAAGTCCAAGGGCACCATGGTCTTGAGATGCATCATTTTCCTTACATTTTAGATGATATACCATGAGTCTTTGGGCATTATTTTATTCCTATGGATTTACGTTGATAAAACATACCAGTTTCTCTTCTACCTTGCAACAGTGCTGTATCCTTCAGTAATTTTTGAGAACAGAGTACTACAATCCACATTTCATCGTCTTCAACTTTAATTTTTCGAGGCAATGAAATCAAGAATACCATAATTTGCAATTAAATCCCAAAGTTTAGAGGAAATTATGTCACAAAAATAAATGGCTCACTACCAATAATTACTTAGTGGTATTAAAAAGAAGAATTATAAGCACCCTTAACCTTTAACTTGCTGATGATCCATCTCAAGGCACAGGGGAAATACACATTACATAGTAAGGGTTAACACAAGAAGCTGCAAACCTGATAAGTGTTGCATTCACAAACGCATAGAAGCTGAAAATGAAGATTAAACACCAGAATGTTTGTGATTGCCTCTCATACAAAATTGAGGGACGTGGTGCAATGATAAACGTTGTTGAGCTGCATGCACCACATCAGCTTCAATTGCCCTCTTTGTAATAATCCAATTTAGACTTCATTGTAAAACATGAAATGCACCTGGAACCACTCCACTTCAAATATCTCTGCATTAAATGCCATGTGCTTCCAAGGCATTTTCTTTTTAATCACATCTTTTGGATCATCAAACCAGTGGCCTATATCAGTGCCAAATCAATGTGATTACTGGTGAATCAAGGACATGCAATGGGCATTACAAGCCGATCGATACTGTTCATTCCTCACTGTGGATTCTGGGAGTTGAGGCCAAATTAGAATATTATAGATGATTTGCTTTTGATTTCACAAAATAGTCATTTGCAGTGCCAATCGTAATTGATGTTTGAAGAGATTCAAATGCATCATTAAATTACTGATATTTTGGAAGTATTTTACGCAACTTAATTTTATTTATTGTACAAAGTTTGTAAGGCGACAAGCAAAGTTCTTGTGAATATTGTATACAGTATTATCTTACACACAGCATACTCCATTTCAGGCAGTATAATCTGCCTGAGTCTTCTGTGAATGTTGCTCTTATATCAGGAAATGCTTCTATTTTCTCTTTCCTTCTGAGACTAAAACCACACTGTCTTTTTTGAGACTGGAAATTCACTACGTGGAGGAATTATAGATGAGGCACGGTGTGTTATCTGACTACAACAAATTTTTACAGGATCTTCAATGGACTAAAATTATCGCAAATTGGACCGATTTCACTTAATGTTTGCGTGAAATACAATTGAAAACTTCCTCTCTCTTTCATGTAAGTATGCTGAAGTTTGTCGACAAATGTAAGCTTTGCCAAGTGGAAATTTTTCAGGCTGAATGGCAAAAACGCTACGTTAATATTTAGATGAGAAAAGGGTTAACCTTGCTATGACGTTTGTGAAGCTTACCAAAGTGGAGAGATCAATTTATTTCCTACTTTTATCAAAATAAAACAGGTCTTCTCTTCAAGTTATTTAGACAGACATTAACATCTAATCCCAACTGGCATTTATCTTCTGACAAAACACACATCAAAAATGCTGCTGAAGAATTCAAATTATTGCTGAAGTGTTAGCAGGCAATACTCTGACCCATATGACACAACAATCTAAATGACCTACACAGAATACCAGCAACAAAGCCTCAATGCCATTTCTTCTGCTTGAGAAGCTTCTCTCCCAGACAGTGTCATCAGCTGGAACACATCCCTCTAAATGTTAAGCAGCACAAATGATCGCATTCTAAACTAAGGCTGTCAGTATACCAGGAAGCATTCTTGTGGGGAAACTCAGACTTTGCTGTTATAACCCCAAAACAAGCCTCGGGTCATACTGTGCTTCAGGCAACCATGGGATTCAATTCCACAAATCAGTTCCTCCTAAATAAATTGGCTGTAGATTCACCCTGATGTTAGGCCAACTAATGCTTAATTATTTTTTCAAGCAATTCTTTCTCCCTTATTTCACTACTGACTATTTAAGCTTATATCCCAAACTACCATTTCATCAATTATACACATGCAAAACATTTATCCTGTGGGCAACAGAATTTTCAAAGACAGCAGAAGAATAATTGCTATCTCTAAAAAAAAGGGAGATTACTGACAGCAATCCAGGATCTGACAATTCATTATTTTAATATCTTTTTTAAAAAAAGCAAAGGATACTAACAACAAATTTACATTTATACAGCATCTTTCATGTCAGGAGGATATCCCAAGGCGCTGGACAGTCCAGGGTTTACCAAGGTGTTAAAGCAATTAAATTACATCATGTGAATACATTTCACAAGTGTTGGGTAACGCAGATCCAAGAGCCTTTGTAGGATTTGGGAAAGTCCATTGGATGCAACATTACACTGATGGTAATCCAGTGAGAGAACAACTGACCTCTCAACTTAACTGCATCCAACATGCCACCTTCCAACTGATCATATGTGATATTGATGGTTTTTGGAGAAGTTGGATCTCAAATAGTTTATTCAAAAATAATGTCTGGATATAAATGCAATTCAAAGGTTTTGCAATGCTTTGTATAAACTTGCAAAAGTGCCCAAAGGCAAAGCACCAGATGGTAAAATGAAGCAAATCTGTTTTACGTGGCACCATCTCATATATTCACTGGCTCACTGTAAAGAATTTGAATTAACTGCTATGATTTGCACTTGACTGCAAAACTTGAATGTGCCAATAGATCTTCACTATTCATATTTAATGTGTTGGTTTCCATCCATTCTGTAAATTATAAATTACCAAATAATGCCATACATTGAAAAATTTAACGCAGTGAAGATTTAATTACAATCAACATTTTGACTGGTGCTGAAATAATTCCTCAAATGGAAATGCATTCAATTTTGACATTCAGAATTCATTTCTCAAATAGCCCTGAAGGTCTGAAAAGGTCATATCTGAAATCATTCAATTTTTACAACAAACTTTTGAATCTTTCAACTGTGCATTCATTTGCATTCAAATATTCTTTGAAATTCCTGCTCTTAGTCACAATTCTTTAAAGTGGTGTTTACATTGTTAAAGAATATTTTTTTTAAAAAAAGCATCTCAACTTTTTAAAAATATAATGGTAACATTAACTTCAATTCTGGAGAACATATAAGTGATGCTACAGGGACAAGACATTGGGTTTAATCCAGAAAGCACACCATAATAATAATCCTTGCATTTGATATAGCGCCTTATCACGTCTTTGAGACGTCACAAAGCACTTCACAAAATATACTGTAAAATGAATTGACTGTATATTTTGTGAGCGAAACGTGGCAGTCAATTGCACACAGCAGTGTCCCACAAACAGTTGTGGATTGAGTGGCCAAATTCTTTTTTTTTTTTAAAAGGAATTATTACCCAAGAAAAACGATCCGCTAATCGACTAACAAACAGGTTCCTACTTACTGCTAGGCAAACAGAGGTGTGTGAAGCAAGGAAACTTGCCCAAAATTTCGCCCTGGCGGGAATTGAACCCAGGTCTCTTGTTTGCAAAGCGAGCGCTCTAACCACTGAGCTACAGGACTCCAGTGCAGGCATAGCCAGTGCAGCAGAGTAACTTCCCCATAGGAAGAAACTCAAGAGATTTGCAGGATGCTCTTGCACACCTCTGCTCTCACAGCAGCATTGGTGAAGGGCAGTAAGAAAGTTGGCCATGATCTCAGATGTAAATGAGATGCGGTACTGGGGCAGGCAATTGGGGAAATGAAATTAACAGCAAACTGACGAAATATAAAAAGGTTTTCTGTCTTTTGGGAGCTGCAAAACTGCCTCACTTATTTAAAGGTATCATCAAATTTATCACATAGATTAAAAAAAGGAAAATTATAAGATGCAGAGCTAGTATTAATCCGCATAAAAGGGTAAAGTAAAGGGGGGGTGGGGAGGACCTTGACTTTGCTATAGGAAACAAAGATACATAAAGACCACAACAATCTATAAAATCTAGAAAAGATAACTGCAGAATACTAAGAGGACTAGATGCGAAGGTTACAAGGCGCTATATCAAATGCAAGTATTATTATTAAAATTGCAAAGTCCACATGCACTGAAAATGCAACCAGATCAGGGAAAGGAGATGAAAGTCTTTCCTCATTTAGCAGCAATCTCATGTCACAAATAACCAGGTCTAAGTTTGTCCACAACGTAGAGATGGACTCGAATGTGCCCTCGTGATCACCGAATTTTCAGACTTTTTGAAGTGGCCTGAAATGCAAAGTGAAGAGAAACCATTCTAGCCTACTTATCTTTCCTTTCAAGATTTTCTTAGTTTCAAAATAGAGACTGGAAGGGAAGGCCCAATTTTTGAAATCAGCCAGAGGCCACATCATCGAGAGCTACCTTGTTATAAAGATCAACATTGCAGCAACAAAGTCATGTACAACATGCAGCACAGGGAAATACGACAGAGGAGTTCACAAGCACAGCGTGTCGCTGTGTGCAAACTGACAAGCTATCTCAGAAAGGTCCAATTTAATTTCTGTACCAAACAAAATTATCAGAAAATGAGTAGCGGTTTGCTTACCTCTTGAACAGAAGGTTGTTGAAAGAGAGGAATGAGAGGGTTTGTTCTTGGAATGTCAATATGAATCTGTCAAAAAAAATGAGTAAAATGAGTTGGTTTTAAAGCACTCCTATAGAGAGATATAGCATTCGTTGCAGATTATCTTATGCAACAACCTTTCTCCGCTTTCAAATCCCTGCTTAAAGACCTTCCTTTTTGATCGTGCTTATGGTGACCTCCCCCCTCCCTCTCCCCCTTCCCCTGGCTTGGTGTCAGACTCTGCCACCATCAAGCTATCAACCTACCCCACGTGAAGGGCGCTATATAAATGCAAATTGTTTTTCTTGTTCTAAAAGGGGAATTAATACCTTAATACCTCTTCTGATTTTCTTTTAAATGCTGATAATATTGTTCCTACTCCAAGTCCAGTTAAAAAAAATTCTGCCGTCTGTATCAACAGCAACTGCCCCTAATGTCATCACTTTATGAAGTCACTAAACCGATCGTGTGAAAGATGGAGCGAGGGAACAGAATTAATGCTCAAAGTTCAAATGACAAGTTCACTTAGACATTGAGCTCCCTCACAATGTCAGAGTCATTATCCCAGAGTTCCCCACCATCACTCACAACAAAAAGGAATCAAAAGGAATCTGAATTTCTTTTCTGACTCAAAGTTAGCTCGAAGCATTTCAGGAATTATTTGCGCAGCGGTTTTAAAGAACTGAAATTAAGTGGTAAATATGACCCTTGGTTGTATAATTTCGGTAGCCTATCCATCAATGAACGAGCGAGACATGAATATAAAATTTATCCGGATAGATCTCGTGTAAAAAGTCAGCTTTTCAATGAAATCAAATCAATTTGCAAACCCCCATCCCCCACAAAAAAATAATTTTCACAGTAAATTGTTATTGTCCCAAACTTCTGTTGAATTTATGTAGATCACTAGACTGTTAAATGCATCTAAACCTCATTCATAATTTGTCATTTTCAGATTTGCACGCCTAGTTGAACAACAGATTCAATTGATAGATTCTGAGTAAACAGGATGAATGAAAGAAATGACGTCTGGATATAATATTCTATAAACACTCAGACACAATTAAAAATTGATTGAAAGATAAAAATCATTGCATTCGGTTTTCTGCAGTGATTTAATAAACTTTACAGGGCAATTAAATTAGCACTCATTGCAATCTTATAATCTTCATTTACATGAACATTATAAGATTGCAACATAGCAAAAGTGTCAAATAAAGTGGGATTAATTTTTAAAACAGGCATTGCACTCAAGAATAATGAGTGCGAAGGTAAGAAAAATCGCAATTTGTCACAGATTAAAACACTTTACTTGATGGAGCTAAAACTTTGCATAACAGGGCAAATCTCCTGTGTTAGAAATAAAGGAATCTTTTCAATACTTGTCGGTAGGTATCCTGGTGATGTTCTTCGTTTCTGGAGTCATAATATTGTTTAATGAACCCATAGTACTCTTCTCGCTTTCGTTGTAGAGTGGTTTCCCTTCGCTCCATATTTGCAGGTAGATAACCCTGTGGGGGAAAAAACACAGCATTGCTTGATGGCATCAACAACAACAATTCGCATTTATATAGCGCCCTTCATGCAGGGTAGCATCTCAAAGTGCTGACTTGGGAGTGTCGGTTCAATGTTTTCATTCACCTTCGACCCACATGCAACATCCGCAAATGTTGCACTCAGAAAGGTCCACAACTGCTGTTGTACAGTTACTGGCAGCATTCCTCAATGTGGCACCCGGTAGCCCGACTAAACTGCGAAGATTTACAGATTAATTTCAAGCAGCTAATGTAGCGAAAAAAATTCAAATTTTAAAATCATTAGGATTTTGTTTCCAAAATATAAAGAGATTTTAATCAGTGTCACCGTTTCAAAGAATACCTCGCCACAGAACAGGTGCTGCTACCTGCGCGAATTAATGCTCTAATCATTTTGCAAACCCGTGGCTGGAACTTGTAAGGTAAACTCATTTTTCTCTCCCAATCTGGGTATAACACATCCACATTGCATTTTGTACTCAGTGATTTGGGTTGCTGCTTTATTCTCAACGTCATGTTAAATGCAAGTTCTTCTGAGGCATTTCAATTCACTGAGTCGCGGAATTTTTATCGTTCCGTTGCGCATCAATAGCACGATCAAACTCAATCGCCCATTATAACAGGCTTTCTCTGGGTGTTAGCCTCCGCGTGATAAGGTCTTCAATTCTGATTCACAACCTCGGTGGCTTGCGTTGCAAAAGCTTTTTTGTGGGTTATTGTTTTTTTTAATAAGTTGCCAATAATAAACGTGAACAAAAACTGAAAAAAAAAAGTTTTTTTTCCGAAAGTTGTTGAAAGCACAAACATTTTGCAATGTTATGCAATAATCCTCTATATTATAAGGCTGGAAAATTACCATTTTCTACATTAACAATCCTTGGCGTTGTGGTGCCAACGACAAAGATAGATATTTAAAGCAAATCATGGTCTGGTTGAGCCACAACTGTGAAATGAGAATTTTTTTGTGTTGATCAAGAAATTTTAATTTTCCTTCTATTATATAATGAAATAAAACCCTATGCTTACTCTACCTAATTTGATTTTCAGGTAAAATACAAATCTATTCCTTACTTCAGTACTATGACGATACAGGACAGAACATGCATGATCCATTTTGGTTCTTGTGCCCCAAACATTTTACTGCCAATGAATAGGAAGGGAACAGTTTGGAATGTCGTAAAACGCTACAGAAATGTTGTTAGCATTTACGTGGAAAGTTTTCTGAATTGCTCTGTAATGTGCAGACTGAACAGCTCTCAGTCAGCATTAAAATAAATCACATTCCACTCAGTCATTAAATTACTTGAATTACAAAGTTTTCTTCAGGACCTTGTTAATTGAATTCTAAATTGATCTGCAAAAGCAACTGCACCGAAGTAGTACTGTATCACCCTTGGATCTGCAGCTGATATTAATTCATGTAACTGTGACCATTCAGCCAGGACATATTGATTTCACAGATTTTTACTGGCTACTAAACCAAGTACAACAAATTAACGTGACCAAACGCAGGCACAGAATGTGCGTTTTCGTACGAGTGTCACAAGCTAACAAATTTATGACCTCTACTATTCTTGCTATGTCATATTGACCCTTGTATTCAAACTCAAGAGGCTGAACAAATACTCAATTTCTATCACCAAGCCCTTTGGCTAGCCAAAGGGATTGTGACTGGATAGGCAACTGATATCAAAGCAACAATTTTTTTAAAAAAAACAATAATATACACATATACTTATATACTGACTCTGCCCTGAGTGCTGCAAAAACCTTCACTACTCACCATTGCAATCTGAATCCCTAAACATAATAAACAAAAACCCTTTCAGAACCTATCAGTCTGGCTAAAGGATGTCTATGTTCATGAATGGCAATTCGTGCCAGAACAAATCAAGGTTTTGGGCTTAATAACAATACATAGTGACTAGCAAAATTCAGATCTGAACTATTCAGGAACGTCTAGTGTTTCTTTCAGGACGGGTTATTCTAATGACTTGTTTGTATTGCTGGAAGTATGGCAATGTGCAGCATAAAATAGGTTTTACCCATCCCATATCTCCACGATGGCTTAGGTTTGTTAAAATGTACACCTTACACGAGTTGGTACTGTGAACATCTGTACAATAAGAACAAGTGACGATGGAACGCTTTCTTCTCTGCCACTACTGAAGTAGATGCAAACCTCACACTGATTGAATATGGTTCAACTGTGCCACCATATGGCATACGTTCAGAACAATTTTTTAAAATATATATTTAATTGACAGATAGAAGCTTAATAGTCAAATAATTTTGAGTGTAATTTGCCCTGCACAAAAGCAATTATTTCTGAAGGACACAGCACCATTTCAGAGTGCAAAGTAGTTTTACTAATTAGACTGCAACTTATAGTGAGTGAGTCGATATTTCTGTAACTTCAGCAAAAGATACTTGCGTTCTACAGGAAAGGAACCACAACAAACAGGCAGTAATTAAGAGCGAAAAACAAATGTGCCAACTAAACGCAATGACAAATGTGTCAGCACATACACAGACAGCACCAATTACTGCAATAACAAGACAAAACAGTTCACACAAAACACACAAATTGTCTTTTACTTATCTTAGAGAAAAGTAGAGAAACAAAGCTAGACAACCAGAAAGGCATGAACATTTTTTGTAATTATCAGTTTATCTGTTATTTTGTACGTTTCTCCTCCAAATTTTGTTGTGACTTATTACGTGGCCAGGTAAATAAATCACACATTTATCAAACAACAGCACAGACGAGCTGAACGAATGTCCCGTTTCTCTGCCAATGACAAAATGTTTTCTTTGATCATTTCAATTAAATTGATTAGGAATACAGACTTTGAAACAAGATGCAAAGGCACTGAAATAAATTGAGGCACGTAAACTGGTTGAATTGCAAGGAATGCTATTTTGCAATTAAAGAAAAGGATCGCAGAAATCGGCAGATTGAATCCCTCAAGTTCACTGCAGCAAGTTTGCATGCGTTTGTATACGTTTCATGACATGTGTTCATATACAGGTTGACCTTGTCAAGATAATCATGCTGTAACAGTTGGAACTCAAGCTGGCAGAAAGCTCAGCTGCACTTCCGAGGCTGTTTCTGTTTCATGCACACCTTTGTCCCTTGTGACGCTGCTTCATCTTCACGTCAAATAAATCTTGCAGTCTGGGGATGATTCTGGAGCGTGTTAACTCACGCTGGTCTAATCAACACGCGGAATATTTCACTGGCCTTCACATGTCATCGCTAAAACCCTTATTGATTATACCTCTGAAGACTGATTCTTTGAAGGAAGAATAATACAATACCTATTGATATAATCTGATGCAGTCCATTGCACTCTCTGGATTGGAAATCTACTCTGTGCATCAGTGGCCATCACTGACAGGAGACCAAGGACTCAACTTCAACTAGCTTAGCAGCATTTTGGTTGGGGGAAGGGCAGTGGTGATGGGGGGGCTAAAGTACACATTTAAAGCAAAACAGTACAATTCTTTACCCTGAAGAACTACAATTATCCCACTTGAAGCCTGAATTCAGGAATACTGTGATGATTACTATGAAAAACGTCAATTGGATCAGATAAGTGGAAATTCTCAGGTAACGTAATAAAATCTTGTGTATTCCTCAGAGCCTTTATAAAATGGAAAACATATAGAATAGCTTCTTTGAACAAAAGCTACTTGCAGTTCAATAACAATTGCAACTTACTGTTACACCCCAAAAAAATCTGAGGAAGGTTCCACATGTCTCTGGCATTATTGGTTTGGTGCTCTAAATTTTAATAAGGAGCAGAGGATTACTGCTTCCAGAAAAGGACTAATTTAAATTGGATAATAAAACGTAAACCAAGATAACATTTAGCTTTCATTGGCTAAATGCTGATCGCAGATTAAAAAGTGCACCCCCATGCCAATGTTTTTTCAGATTCATCCTCCTTAAACAGCTGCAAATTAAAATGCCTGATTTTAATTAAACTATGATGTTTAATTCTTCTAATAACCCAAAAAAAATCCTTCCACAATGCTTCTTTGCTGTTGCAATGCAAGTCCATTTAAATTGTTTCAAATATTTATTCAGCACTGTGAAGAACTACCGTGAGCTAATGAGCAGAAGAATCGAAAAATTACTTCCAGATTGAAGAGCAATATAATTCATATTTAACCTATAAATAAAGGTTTTAGATTTGATGCACTGAATAGAAAATGTATTTGGTCAAATTAATTTCATTAATGTTTGCTTGTCCTGAGCATCTCCAAGGTGTTAATTATTCTAAGAAAGCTGGCATTTATACAGAGTTTTGAAAGTCTTCCATTTCCAGCTAAACTTGAAGAGTCCTTGGTACTGTGAGGCTGAGGAATGTGCCATTTCTCCACTTGCGCCACACATTCTAGCACCAACCATTTGCAATCAAGTGCGACACAAGTTAAAAGCAAAGAAACAAAAGATTTCTCTGCTATGCAACCAACAATGTTACTTTAATTCCACGATTTCACCAATGTGGAAATTCCCCCCTTCGCCCCAGCTATTCTTGCTGTCTGGAAAAGTGACTGGCCATTTGCATCACATTATAGGTCAGTTTTGTGCTGTGGATCCACAGCCACTAGAAACGAGATTCAGACTGCTTTGCATTCCACTCAAGGTAGAAGCCATGCAACCAGAAGTGGGAAGACTGACTGTTCATTCCTTCAATCTCATCTGAATTGAAACACTGGTCTCAGGAGTGAAAGAAGTGAAAGCTAGCTCACAATATAACCATTTTCTTTTAAGATTGCTATGTCTTGTGTTTTGTTGGTCACGTTTTCAATACAACAACTTGCACTTATATAGCGCCCTCCACACAGGGTAGCGTCTCAGAGTGCTTAACAGCGGCGGAGCCTGACTCCGAGCCGGGGGGGGGGGTGGGGGGGTGGGGTGGGAGACGGAGGTGGCCGTAAGCACGGTCGAAGAGTAAATTCTTCAG